TTAAAATGCTAATTATTATTTTCAAGAACTTTCTACCTTCATTTGTACTTTTTTGTTTTCAAGGGCTCATAGAATTAGTCTTCCATGTGACAGCTTTTTAAATATTTTAAGACAAAAACTGAGTCTTCTAATCTTAATTGTGTTCTAGCAGTAGTCATTGTAATTATAGTTATTTTTATAATTTATTTTTTAGTGTATATCTATCACTCTGGAATGTAGGTTCCCTGAGATAAAAACTATAATTCTTTTTATGCCAGTTACATTCCCAACTCTTAGCACAAGACCTAGGACATAGTATGAACTCAATAAATATTTGTTGAATGAAAGAAAAATGCAAATTTTTAAGCCTTTTCAGAGACCTACTGAATCAAACTCTGAGAGTGGAGCCCAGCAATCTGTTGTAAAAGCTATTTGAGTAATACTGTTGCACTCTAAAGCTTGAGAACCACTGCAATAGAACTAAGAGAACATGCATTTCACCTTTAGGCCTATTCTCTGACATCACTTGAAAAATCCGCTCTGCCTTCTGTAACCGTTACCAACAACATTGTCCTGTCCATGTAGGGGAAACTTCTGGGCTATATTACAAGTGGGTATGAAGGTATAAGGATATACACAGTGGGAAGTATTGCTTAGAATGCCAGTACTTGTTTGCTGTGGAAGGTTTCTAGGAATGGATTGCTTAATCTAAGCACTACCACCATCCACGTTTTCACTTAACACAGTGCCTTTTAATTGGTGACTAACATCAAAACACCTTAACAAACCGTTAAAACAGTATCAGAAACCACGTGTACATCCCTGTGCCTCTTAGATTGCTAAGTTCTGCTCTCGTTCTTACTTCAAAGGACACTTTTTAAAGAATTGTTAATGCTTTTTTATAATACAAGTCATAGCCATGTTGGCAAAAAGAAGAAAGATTTGGTGAGAAAGAAAAATCACTGAAAATTCCATCATCCAGGGAGAACCACTGTTATTTAAGTATATGGCCTTCCAGACTTTTCTGTGCATTTATAGATTTTTTTAATGGGATCAAAGTGTACATACTGTTTTGTAACTTTTTTTCACTCAACAATACCATGACTGTCTTGCTGTATCAAGTATATTTCTACATCTCTTAATGGCTGCATGATATTCCATCGTATGTGCCACATTTTATTAAACTACTGTTGAATTTTTAGGTTTCCAACTTTCATTAATAAAGTGCTTTAAAGAACATTGTCTTGATAAATCTCATATGTGTTCATATTTTCTGAAGATAAATACTTTGAAGTGGAATTGCTAGTGAAGAGGGTATGCCAGTTTTTAAAAGCTTTTGTTACTGCCATGTTGCCCCCTAGAAAACTTTAAGCAATTTATACTTTTATCAGCAGTATATGAGAGAATACGGTTTCTTTTGGAGGGCTTCCAACTAGAATGTTCTTGGAGTCTTTGGTTTAAAAATAAAGGGTAAGAGGGAGATTAAAAGATCCTGCAAAATTAAAAGACCAGTCTTAAATTTTTCTTAAATTATGATATTTACTGTTCTTCTCTCTTTATCATATATTTTGTGTTACTTTGGAAATGTTTGTAGTACTAGTTGCCTCTTGCTTTTATTCAGTCTCCTGGAAGCAGTATTACCTTTCTGATGCTTGCAGAGACAGTAGAAGAATAATCTTAAGTAGACTTGAATCTTGAAGTATCTTTAATGCAGGTTTACTGTTTATGGATTTAGGGAATGTAGCCCTAGTGGGGAAAGTAGGATTTTGGAAGGTAGGCAGAACAGTGGCTCTCCCACTTGTTTGCCTGGCCTTTTGTGAGTCATTAAACCTCTCCCACTTTGAGCCTGCTTACTCATCTCTAGAATGAGGATAATATAAACCTACCTTGTAGCATTGAAAGGATTAACCACTCGTGGCTGGCACCTAGTGGATGATAATATAGCTTACTAGGATTTATAGATAAGTATGTTAGAGCAGTTGCTATTGTCAACCTCTGGAGTAAATATCACTGCCATTGCCAAAGAAAATCTTCCTTGAAAGCTGTCACAGTGAATGGGCATTGTCTTGTATGTCCTTATACCTACACAATCCTCATTCTTAGGAATCCGGCTCATTTTTTCCAGTCAGGTATTCAAGTAATCTAACCGATAAAACTCTCAGACAAGATGTATAGCAGAAGATTTCAACATTACCATGCTTAACAACAGTATACGAAAGTGGTAATCAGTCTTTTCAAGTGGTGAGCCTTGCCAAACTGCCCCTTCTGATACTCCCCCACCCTTGGCCCACAGCTGATCTTAGTGCTTCCGGGGGCTGTACCTCTACGTGGGAGCCTGACACAGGACAGGCGACTCAGCTCAGTAACGGTATTGTTAATTAGCTAAGTCTCAGTCGCATCTCCAGGACTGGAGATCACAGAATTGATTCATCTATAGTGAGGGAAATTTATTTAAAGAAGTATCTGAATTATAAAAGTTGCTTAGCAGTATTCAAAAAGATAGATGGACCAGGGTTGAACTGCAGTAATCATTGCAAAACCCCAGGGACCAACCCATTTTAATACTTGGATGAACCATAATACATTTAAATTAACATCTGTTTGTTGATTATAACTCAAACTACTCAACCAATAAAGAATTAGTAGTAAGATAACTTAAGGGGGTTGTCAGTAAGGAAGGCTATACAGGAGGCTTCAGGCTTACGAAACAAGATGAACAACTAATTGGAGGTGACAAGAGATGGACTACCATTATAAACAACTTTTCAGAGTCTGATGCACCAGGGTTTGGGACACATGTTTCTGCTTAGTCTCATGTTCTAGTAAAGTTCTCTGAAGCTTGACCTGTAGTAGGCAGTTCCCGACAACCAGGCATTTTGACACCTGCTTGCCTTTTCTATATAGTTTATTGTGTTCAGCTTCACCTGAAGATCCTCATTTGTCAAGAATAAACTCAAACACTCATTCCTCTATGAAGAGATTCTGGATTCTGCAGGCAGAATTGCATACACACACACAACTATGACATGCATTGCCTTGGATCACAATTACTTGCCAACTTAGTTCCAGAACAGGATTTTGTGTCCCCTGACTCCTAGCACACCTAAAGCTGAGTTTTGGCAAGCCCATAGCTTGCTTACAGCGTTGTGTTTACAAAAAAATCAATGATTCAGATTTGGTGCTATTATGTGTATTTGCCCTAAGAAACATTGGCTCTTTCGGACATCAGTATTACAGAAAGCACATATCTACTTTGCTTGGAGAGTAATCCCCACAATCTATCATCATGGTTATTACCTCATTGGCTCTGGTTAATTCTACAGTGCTCATCACTGACTCGTACTTTGCAAAACAATAATTTGTTACAGCTTGGACTTTTGCTGGCCACATCTATACTTCAGATTTAGGGTCAGTCACCTCAAGGTTGGATTGGGGTATTTCCATTGTTGAGCTTTTCTATATAGATGTCTTCTGTAAAATGGACTAAATTGCCTTCCTTTCTCCTTTTCTTGCCTCTTTTCCACCTTGCCTTTTTCCCATTTCTATACATTCTCCCTCTCCCTTCTTTCAAAAAATTTACATGAGAAAATGTATAATAGAAGATCTTGCTCAATTGATATTTGTGAATGACAACTCTGACCCAGATTTCTGAGAACCAAAGAAGGATGTATGATCCGGCTTCAGATTGACTGTTCGCATATAGAAACACGCTGGTTGCTCAGGAGACAGCTACTCATAAAGAAGCACTCATCAAGAGAGCACTGAGACACCAACACCAAAGCAGAGTTAAGAGGCCAGAGTGCTGGCACTGATTCATGGATTAAATCTTATGTGGCTGCTGCATTGAAGTTTTCATCAAACTGAGAGTATAAATAGGCACAAAATTACTCACATTGACGCCCGGAAACACAATGTCGCTGAGGCTTGGCCTGTCAGATCATCAGCAAGTGGAGGATTCCCCTCCCCTGCGTATGTTTTAGAATCTCCAGAGACACATCCACAAGTCAATCCTCTTCTTTCTAGCTGCTAGTAAAGAGGGGCCTTCTATCCCAGCTCATACTCCTAACCTAATTGCCTCAAAAACTTTCTGCGGTCACTGCCAGTGAATCAGGTTTAGTTGGTAAAATTGGAAGGTCACCACTGGCATCTGATAGAGCATTCTACAGAAGTGGGTATGGAATGCTGTTTTAATTCATATAGTTTAACTGGAGGCAATAAGGTTGCTCATCAAGATTCAAAATCTTACCTCAGTTACATGTCAAGAGTTTTCCTCACTGATACAACAGGGGCCCACTGCCTAGGCAACCACGCGATGACAAGTATGTTACCCAGACGTGCTTCTTGCTGACTTCCAACCCGCCCCCTTCTTCAATGCTACCTATAGCCCACAGTGCTTGGATCGCTGCTGCCTCAAACAGAAAGTCAGAGCTCTGTGGCATAAGAGCCATTTCTTCCCTATTAACGCTCAATTGCAGACTTCCCAGAAAGCACAGCTCTCTTAAGGGCAAGGGCTCTTTAAATTTACATACACAGAGCCAATTCTCCCAGGAGAAAGCCCTCACCAGATTGTGTGGTGAAGATAAATTCCACTGCTGGACACTTTGCAGTCCCGGAACCAAGGCTCCCCTTTGTCCCATAGCTCCCCTTGGTGTCAGGGAGCTGCTCACCTGCCTATTTCTACCTTCATGATAAAGTCCCTTTTAAGGGCTGTGTTACTTTATCCCACACTCTGGCATTGATTGGTACCATCTCATGACATCTATATGCTTTAATATATTTGGAGCCCAGTGTTAGGAGTAATAGAGTCCTACTCTATTCCTAAGCTATAAAATGTTACTATTACTATTCTGCCCAGAATGTTTTATTGCAAAACCACCTAGCACAGAAATTGACTATAGACTTTGGAATCAAAGAAGCAAATTTTCAAATCTCAACTCTACCATCTTATTAGCTGTGTGTTCAGTAAGTGATACAACCTTAACCTGTTTCTTCATCTGCAAAATACAGATTAAAATGCTTACCTCCTGGGTTTGTAGTAAACAGTACTTCTCAGACCAGCAGCATCAGCATCACCTAGAAATTTATTAGACATGCACTCTCAGGCAGCTACTGAATCAGAAACCCTAAGGATGGGGCAAAGCAATTTGTGTTTTAACAAGCCCTCTTGTGATTTGATGCATGCAAAGTTGGTGAAACACCAGTTGCGAGGATTAAAAGAAATAAAGCACATAAGGGCTAGACTCAGTAACTGGCATATAGTAAATACTTAATTTCTAACTATTATTATTGTCACTATTAGAATTTCTAAAGTAATGAATGAACTACACACTTTTCGGGCAAAGTTTCATATATATTTCTCATAACAAAGCTTTTCATAGACGTTTGGCAGCTGAAGGCTGGAGGCTAAGATCTCAAGAATATGGAGTACAAATCCTTATACTTTAACCAATCATGTAGAAAATGAGTTTAAATTCTTTTCACCAAAAAGTAACTGAAATCTATATAGAAAGTCACTGTGCCTCTGCAAAAAGAAAAAAAAAAAAAAAACAGTACTTGGAGAAAGGGTCAAGATTTTTCTCAGAAAACAGTCAGGGTCTGCTTCTACACATAGAAAAATGGGACAATTGAAGCTTCAATAATGGAGCTGCCAGCCCCATTATTGCCACAACTATTGCCACATCATAGAATATCACCATGATCATATTCACCCGAAGTTTTTCAAAGCATATGCTTCCAATTGCATTGTGTGACTATAAAACAATTTCTATCATACACTCAATAAAATGACCAGCTTCATTTCATGTAACTTCCTGATGAATGCCTCAAGATAAATTTGTTTTATAATAACCCTAGGAAACTAAATGAATTTACCTTCTACCCAGGCTGTTTGAATGTAAATCAATTACATGTCACAGAAGACTGAAATGATTGTGGTTTTAGAATCGTCCATAAGCCATTCTTTCTGAGAGCATTTACCCAGCAAGTCCAGTAGAAATTAAATTTGTGGTTGTGTACCTTCAGGCAAATTATTCACTTAATTTCTCAGCCCCACAGATTTTTGTATCTGTAAAATAAAAGGATTGAACCAGATGATCTCTAAGATCCATCCAGCTCTTGCATTGTACCATGTTCTAAACAAGCCAAAGTTGTTCATGTTTTAATTAACTGTGAATTAACTTGAACAGCATGCACAGTTCTACTGGCAGCTCGTTGATGGGGTTGTTTTCTTTATATTTTAGAGTATAAAGCTCTTCAGTCTGAACTTTCTAGAAAAGGCTGAAAAGCACTTTGTGAGAAACTTTTTAGAAATCCCTCTCTACCTGGGCTGACTTAGACCTCAAAAGGACGAACTTTGTGCTCAGACGTTCTAGTGGATTCTAATGAGTATATATGAACAGTGGCACTCACAGTCTTAGGCATCATTGGGCTTTCACATCCCCTTGGAAAAAGTTGCTAACACTTATTGAGCACTTTATGTGCTTTACCTTCTTGAAACCTGTCAAGAAAGTATATTTTGCCCATTCTACAGACAAGAAAACAAAATTTAGAGAGCCGCACAGCTAGAGAAATGGCAAAGAAGTCTCATTGCTTGCCTTCCCAACTCCAAAGCCCAAGCTCTTAATCAGTGTGGAACACAGACACCTATTTTTGGAGTGTGCTGCCTAAATATGGTCAATGGCCCATTATTTTCTGCACTCTTCCCAGGTTAGTAACTTTCCTTGGGGCAGAAAAAGTATTGCTCTTAACATAAAGTAGCTATAAACTGCTGCTTAACCAACTAAAGAAACCTACAAAGGTTGTCAAGCCAAGCAGGGAGCTGCCAGTCCCATCACTGCCACAGCTGAAAGTGCAGAAAAATCAGTGTTGGTTTAAGTCAGAGCTGCTCAAAATGCAGGCCCCAGAATCTGTCAGGGGTGGACTCTGCCGTCCTGTGGTTCAATAAGCTCTCCAGGTGATTCTGATGCACATGTTTGAGAGTCACTTGTTTACATATAGCAGAGAAGCCACCTGTCTCTCACCTCAAAGCTGACTCACCTGCAGAAACAATGAAAGAGGGTAATGACAGGCCCCCCCAAAATTACTCCAAGCTATCAAATTTAACTAAAACGTAATATCATTTAACTGACTCTATGCAATAAGTAGAGCATTCATTAATGAGTAATTTGGTAAGCACATGAGCATGCTCAGGATATAATTTTTCCAGGAACAGGGAAAAGAGCCCATGGATTGGAAGTTTATTTTGAAATTCAGCTGTAAGGGAATATGTTCTACGTATCTTTCTTTTATCAAGGTAAGAAAGTGATATAATTTTATTGTTTCTTTCTAGCCAGTGTCTCAGTTTCCACTGAGGAGTTTATATACCCTATTCGGCAGGACAAGAGCACATTATTTTAAAAAATAGATGCCAATCATTGGCATTTACCACATGCCAGTCACTGTGTGGGGTGATTTACACATTCTCTAATTTCATTCTTGCAACAATGCTATGAGGTAGAGATTGTCCTTCCTCTGCAGATGAGAAAACCAAAGTTTAGATAGAGACATTAAGCGTAAATCTGCTGAGCTCATTTCAAGGCTCCTCAGTCTCTAGAGAAAATAGATTTCCTGAGTTACATCTCCCTTTTCTTTTTTCTCTTGATACTAATGCATCATTCCTTTACCCCAAGACTGTCAGGCACAGGAAGCCAGCACTCTAGACCTCCCTTCATGGCCCATTCCCACTTTTCCTTTGACTCCCAGCATGATGCCCACTCTAGCTAATTTTAAGACCATTTTCTGCAAACTTGAGCTCCCCAACACCCAGATAGCTGAGCTAGGTGGGCTGCTGAGACTAAAGGATCTATGGTGCCTGGGGAAAAAGAATGCCCTGGAGGGAAAAGAAGAAGGGCAGTAGGTAGCAGAAGGCATGGCTTGGATGGGGGAATTGTGTCAACAGTGATACTGACCATGAACACACTGAACAACCAGCAAAGAGAATGGCTGATAATATGACTGTTCAATGGAGGAACTAAGGAAAATATGGTCATATTTGTAAATAGTTTATCAATTTTGTTTCACTGCCATACAGCACAACAACTAGGGTGCATATTATTAAATGAGTTGGATTAACTTTCTGGGTTTGGATTATTTTGCTGGAATAGCGACTTCTTTATTACTGTGACAATGCTATACTATAGAGTTTACTGAACACACAGCACAACTATCTGTTCACTACTTCAGAATTGGAGAGATCACTGGTCATATCTATATTTCCCTAATTTGGAGAACACATATCCACCAATGGTGCATACATTCCAATGCAAAATGCAAAAACAATGATCTGAGTTTGGTAATAAACCCAGAAACTTGTTAAGCTCTTATCAGCCATGTGTCTGTATTAAAAACCACCTGGCTGCAGTTGAAAGATAACCTTCTATTTTCAGTCATTCGCTATATTTGCGGTAGCTTCACATCACTGATCACAGGGACTACAGTAATGGGCAGGGTGGCTGAGCAGGGATTCCTTTGCCTGTCTTCCCCAGTCCGTTCCCCAGTTCCTCTCTCCCAAAAGTCCTATCAGCAGAGACCTTGCAACCTGAGGCAAAAAGTGAAAGAATAAAAGCTGCAGTAACTTAAGTACTTGCTGCATATCAGACACTGTGCTTAAAGTGATTTACATTCATTATCTCATTTTAACAACCTGAGAGTTGGGTACGACTCTTATCTGTGTTTTACAAAAGCGGAAGTGAAGGCTCTTAAATCACATAGCCTGGTAGAGTGGTAGAGCCTGGGCTTTGACCCAGGCCTCCCTAATTCCAAAAGACTTGCTCTCAGTATCTATAGAGGACTCCCCAATGCACTATTATACCACTTAACTTGGCCAATGGCCAGTGTTTAAAATGGATAGGAGCAGAGACTTACCCTTTCTGTAACCAAGGTAGAGTACAGCCTCTGAAATACAGCTGAGCAAACAACTCAAGCACAGTTTGGTGTTCCTGCCCAGTGGGTGCTATTCCAGGAACTGATATCCCTTCCTTCATGTTCCTTAAACCCATGTGGCACCCACTATTATGGTATTGACAATGGGCTGAGAAGCCCCTTCTCAGTGTAAGCAGGGACTCTTTCTAACCTCATCCCTGGTATAGGAAATGAGCACCTCTTCTGTTCTGTCTCCAGTCTACTCAGCTCTTTCAGTAACTTGTCCAAAGGTTCTTTGGAAAGTCAGCTGATTGGAACACAGAGTACATTTTATATAATACAAATGGTGATGAGGCTCTTAGGTCAGTGCACCAAAGCCTACTTAATCTGTAATGTGCCGGAAAATTGATGGTGCACCCGAACCCAGAACAGTGCAGAGTTGTTGAAGACCCCTAAATTTCTCCAAGCCCAGGCTTTTCTATGATCCTCCACAATAATAGCTCGTGTTTTCTGAGCACTTACCATGTGATTGATGGCGCTGTACACACATGATCTCACTGGACCCCGACAGCAGCTCTAGGCAGTAAGCACAATTGTTAGCCTCAAGTAACTGAGGCGTAGAGAAGTTAAGTGACTTCCCAAGGTCACAGAGTTGATAAGTGATAGAAGCAGGATTAGAACCCAGGCAGTCTGGATCCAAAGTCAGTGTGACCAACCGCCCGTGGACCTTTAGTTGCCTGAAAACTGGGAAGAGGACCCGAGGCTGGGCAGAGGCTCTGCTGTGTAGGCAGCTCCCACAATGCACACATGGAAATCACACACACAAGCAGGTAGGGAGTGGGCTGGACAGGAGCTCTGGTGAATCCCTCCACCAAGGTGAAGGAGAGTATGACAGAGACATCCACACATGCTTCAGTGCCTCTAGAAGAGGAAGAGGTCCGTGAACAGGAAGGTGTGTCCATGGGGTGGGCCAGGGAGATGACAGGAGAACAAACAGCTTGCTCCTTCTCCACAGTTTCTACTGCTGCTCTGAGGCATGACCTTGGGCAAGTTCGTCCCCTTCCTCTTAAAGGGAGGGCCATAATAGTTCCCAACTCTAGAGTCTTTGTGGGGATTGAGTGAAATAATTCACTTTGTATGGTGCCTGGTGCCCACTCACTGAGAACATCCTCTTGGGATTAGGACCATTATCATTACACCACAATGTCATCTGACTCTGAACACAGCCAAAGCCCATGAAAAAGCCCTTCGCAATTGGCCTTGCTAAGACAGGCTTGAGGGGAAGGAGGTTTCCCCCCTACACTAGGATGCAGGGTTGAACGGCAGCCACGGGAGCCCTCCTCCCTTGCCTGGGGAAAGTTCCAGTCTCCTTTCCCCACCAAGCCCTTACTAGCACCACCAACAAGATGCATAATGAACTGGCTTGAGTCCCACCTCTTCATTTCCACTTCTCTACTCTCAGCAGCTAGGGCTAAGAAGCTGTGAAATGAAGGAATGCCCATTGGCAAGAGGAAAGTGGTTGCCAAGTCAAGCAGGCCCTGAATAGTCAGCCTGGAGAACTGGCCATAATTTACTATAAAACAGTCTCTCCTGGTGATGAGGGGTAGGGCAAGAACAGAGGAGAGAAAACAGATGCCCCTTGAAGTTTTTCACCAAAAATCTAATGAGCCATGACTTACGAATGCGATGGTGTTTTGCAATCCACACTGCAGTTCTTCATGATGTCTAGGTCCAGAGCCAGCTCTCTTCTGAGAGGAGGGTTGCTATCTTTACCACCACTGGCAAAACAAAAACAAACAAAACTAAAGGCAAGATGGTTGGGTCCTAAACTTAACATTTGGTTTCCCCATTTCTGTTATATATTAGCTGAGGAGACTTTTGGAAGACCCAACAAAGACATTATATGTAAATCAATAACAATTTTCGTTTTATGTTCAAACCATGAACACTGACTAGCTAATTTTCATGGCATCCCTATAAGTGAGTTTTATGATCCTGCTCCAATTCAATTCTTCAATACTGTAATAGCTTAGATGATTTTTTAATGAATTTCCATAAAATGATTTTTGCCAGCACCTTACATTTTTATCAGATTTTCTTGTCGTAGCTGGATACGGCTGGCACAGAGAGTTAAGTGTTGTGAAATGGAGCAGACAGACAAGGATGGAGACTCAAACAAGGCATTGGCATGGGCCAACGTGGAGGGCTGCAGGGAGCAGGCAAGGGGGCATGACCCAGCTAGAAGTGCCTGGAAGAACAGCCTGGTGGTTGTCAGCACAATCTACAAAAGCAATAGCATAGATTAAAAAGCAGGAGCCCAGGCAAAGGTCTTAACAGCTGAGGATATAGGACATGTGACCGCTGTAGAGGATTGTCCCCAAAAAGTGGGTAGACATACCCCTTACTCTGATCTCTATGAGAGGAGTGTCCTCGGCTACCCCGTTGATGATGAGCTCTGCCACGTGCCTTTCTTGGTCCTATGGGATGTTAGTAGGCATGATAGGCAGAGGCCTGTGATATGTTTGCGCAGTTGGGCTTGCCCTCTTGGGCTTCCGCCAGCACCATGAGAAATGTCTGCCCTGGTAGCACTAGTTCAAACAGGATGAGAGACCTGTGGAGCAGACCTGGACCACACCCACAGCTTAGAGCAAGCCAAGGTAAACACATTTATCAAGCATATTACTAATGCCTTCTCATCCTTCTAGTTGCAACTTACATGTCACTGTCTCAGAGGTCCCTGTCTGACTCTCCTCCAGGCTAAATTATGCCCCGGTGTTAATTGTGTTTCAATGAAAGAAAAGAATTAATTAGGAAGAATTATTTGCTTATATGTTTGTTTCTTCCATTAAATTACATTCCTTGAAATCAAGGAGCATGTCTTATATGCTTAATATATTCTAGAGACTGTGGACTGTGCTAGAGCTCAATGAAGACTATTAGGCACTTAGTAAATATTTGTAGAATGAAATATAGAAAGCACTCCTGGAGGATAAGGCCACAACTACTACAGTGATGACATAGAGCTCTTCTTTCAAGGAGCTTTGCATCTACAGGGCCAGACCATCAGCCACTGCACAGTGATAGGCTAGAGCTACTTAAATCCTTTCTCCCTGTGGTCAGAATTGACCTGAGAGACGGAGACAAGGTGTCCAGTTAGCTATTGCCATGGAACAAATTATGACAAAATTTAGTAGCATCAAGGAACAATTACTTTTACTGTCTCTCAAGGTTTCTGTGGATCAGGAATTTGGAAAGAACTTAGCTGGGTCGTTCTGGTTCAGGGTTTCTAATGAGATTGTAGTCAGGTGGTAGCTGGAGAAGCTGGAGGCTGGCCATACATCTCTTTATTCCTGTGATGTCAGGGCTGCTTCCTGTGGTCTCTCTGCACAGGTGAGTTGGGCTTCCTCCTAGCATGGCAGCCTCAGGGTGGTTGGACCACTTTCATGGTGGCACAGGACTCAAGTGCAGGTTTTACAGCAAGCAAAGTGGAAGTTGTATCACCTTTTTCTTTTTAATGTGGTTAAAATCATGTAACATTATCTGGGCATGGTGGCTCATGTCTATAATCCCAGCACTTTAGGAGGCTGAGGTGGGTAGATCACCTGAGGTCAGCAGTTCAAGGCCAGCCTGACCAACATGGTGAAAGCCCATCTCTACTAAAAATACAAAAACTAGCCGGGCATGGTGGTGGACGCCTGTAATCCCAGCTACACAGGAGGCTGATGCAGGTGAATCGCTTGAACCCAGGAGGCAGAAGCTGCAGTGAGCTGAGATCATGCCTCTGCACTCTAGGCTGGGTGACAGAGTGAGACTCCACCTCAAAAAAAAAAAAAAAAAAAAAGTAACACAAAATCTTCCATCTTAACCATGTTTTAGCGTATGATTCACTAGTGTTATGTACATTGACATTGTTAGGCATCCAATCTCCAGAAATTTTACATCTTGCAAAACTGAAACTCTATGCCCATTAAACAACAACTCCCCATTTTCCTCTCTCCCAAGCCCCTGGAAACCACTGTTCTACTTTCTGTTTGTATGTATTTGACTATTTTAGATACTTCATAGAAGCGGAATCATGCAGCATCTGTCTGTCTGTGACTGGTCCACTTCATCCAGCACAAGGTCCCTGAGGTTCACCCATGCTGCAGCACGTGACAGAATATCCTTTTGAAGGCTGAATAGTATTCCATTGTGTGTATATGCCATATTTTCTTTATTCATCTGTTGATGGACATTTGGGGTGCTTCTACCTGTTGACTATTGTGAATAATACTGCTATGAATACAGGTGTGCAAATATCTGTTCAATTCTCTGCTTGTTGCATCACTTTTTATGACTTAGCCTCAGAAGTCACAAAATAATACTTCTTTCAATGTCAGAAACCCACCCATATTTAAAGTGAGGGAGCAGAGGTCCCACCTCTTGAGGTGAGGTGCATCAAAGCCACATTCTAAGAGGAGCATGTGGAGTAGAAGATACTGTTATAGCCATCTTTGGAAAATACAACCTTCCACGCAAGGATCCAGCTAGAAATGGAGGGGAGCAGTGGGAGGGATTAGGGAAGTGTTGTCAACCTTCCGAGGTTGGCATTCAGACATCTGCCATACAAATGAAGGCCATAGGCAAAGACCTTGCTGGCCACCAGGCTGCATCTTATACAAAATAGCACTCCACCACTTTCTATCTCCTTACCCTGCCTTATTCTTCATTCTTATTCTGATACCTTCTCCTCAGTACTTAATTGTCCAATTGCTTATTATATGTCCCTCTCCACTAGAATATAAATTCCAAAAGAACAAGAACTTTGTCTTTTGCTGCCATATACCAGAGTCTAGCATGGTAGCTGACACAGGGTAGGCACTCGGTAAAATTTCATTAAATGAATGAATGGATTCGAGAACGATGAAAATTTGATTTAAGTTCTGTGTTACTAAGTGGAACCAGGGTCATCTGGTGTAGTCAGACAAACCTGCATGTAACTCCTAGTCTCACCCCTTACTGTCTGTGTAGCCTTCAAGGAGCTATTTAAGAAGAGAAAAGGGTGGGTAGCAAGGTAGCTGATGCTGAAACTCATCATCAGTATAGTCACGGCCAATAGAAACTTGGGGTCAAGTGATAGAATATTGACCAAGGGACCCCTCAGAACCCGTGAAGTCCTGAAGTCCACCTCCCTCATTCAGCAGAGGAAAGCTGAGGCCCAGGGAAGTGATTATTCCTACCCAAGACCACACAGAGGCAAGACTAAAACTGGGGATCCGAAGTCCTCTGACTCATCAAACGATTGGGTCCATCAAAACTCGAGGTTGCAAGTGATAGAAATGTATCCCAATAACTAGCCCAGGCACAAGGAGAAGTTTAAGCCCCCCCGTGTTTTCTCATGAGTGCGGCAGATGCCCTTGTTGCCCTGCATCTCATCCCCTCACCCACACCTGCAGCTGTGATGAATAGCATCACTTCGAGTGGACCCTGCCTCTGTTCTTCCACCACAAGACTTTCTCGAAAAGCACAGGAGCCCACTCAGCCCACACTCATGTTCAGCCAGAAAGAGAGAGTAGTCAAAGCCCCCAAGGACAATTCTCAACCAAAGAAGAACAGGAGCCATTAGGCAAATGCCCCAACCTTCCCTCCTATGGGTGGACAATTCTGGAGGCTTCAATGGTCCCTGCAGAGTTGAGCCCCTTTAGCCTAAAGCAGTGACCTTGACAATGCACACTTGATTGACTGTTTCCTTTTCCTTGTGCATTCTCCCTATCTCCTCACACCTGCTTGCTGGGATCTCCTCACAAATACCTACCTTCCTCTGTAAGTCCTTGACTTGGGCTCTGCTTTAGGAAAAACCTAAACTAAGAGGTCAGTCTATTGGTGATGTAGCAAAAAATAGAATATGTCTTAGTTATGCAGATATTGATCATTAGGGATATAGAAGGTAGAGGTTGACTGAGATAACATAAATAGTGCCTAACCCCAATGCCTAACCATCATAGATGCTGACTCAATGTTACCATAGTTTATTCTAAGACGCACCTGTCTTTCACATTTCAACATTTCTAAAAACAAGATATACCTTAAAATCAGCGAGATCTTACAACTATAATTGGCAGTATTTTTTTCTTCATTGGGGATATATAAATATTGGATGCATCTTGCAATCATTGTCATTTTAGAGTCTTAGGTATTTTATAGTTCTCACTCAGTTTCTTCCTGCACTGTGAATCAGGGAAATGAAATGAATTGTCAAAGTACGAAGGCACTGTGTGGAACAGAGCTAGTCAAAAGACCCATATTTCCCTAAAGCATGATAAACCGGAAACTCCCCCAGCCAAGAGGAAAAGAGACTAGGGGAGTCTGAAGGTCATCCAGGTATACGTTGAGATTCCACTCCAAGCAAATCAACAGAGACTGTGCTTCGTTCATCCTTAGCACCTGAGCACCTGGCTCAACGTAGAGTCTAGAAAATGTTTGTGTACAGAAACAAAGTGAGTGGGATACCGAGATGGTCTGTCCTGCCCATCCCGGAAGCTCACTTAGGAGGTGGAGCAGGTAGGGCAAAGAATGGGGGGCACCTTTGGAACACCAGGAATATCAGTGTGCTGGTCCAACTAAAGAGAGTGAGCCAGTCCTTCGGTATGGCCTCTCACACCAGGGAGAGGCTCTGACTTGAATGGGTACATGCTGGGGGCTACAGACCCCACAGGGTGTAGCTAACTCGCATTCACTTCATCGTCTACCCTTTTTTCTCACTTCATATGGCTCTAAGGGCTCCCCACACAGGGCTCCC